AGAAAATGATTCAGTTCAGCAGTGGAGAACAGGTCCGTCTGTGCCCTACCAATCTTTTCCCACATCTGGGACATGACTTCTGGGTCTCAGCAGGGTGTTCCCTGCACCATTGTCCCATCCTGGCAAGTGAGTTGCTCTCAGTGAGGCTGACCCACATGAGGAACATTTGTGCAAGGCTAAGTCAGTCATCCAACCTCATGCCAACCTGGTGATCGACCAGCACATGGCAGTGTCTCAGGAACTGGTAAGCAGGATTTGAGGTCTAGATCAACCTCCCTTGGTTCCAGCTGGTTGATGTATTTTACACTCACAGTAGGTTGCACAAGCCTCCTGTGCCTCAGGCAGTGAGGGAGATGTTTGAGGTGACTATCTCTCCTCACTGGGGCTTCGCTCCCACACAGACCCCTTTCATGAGAAAGCCTTGTGCCTCATGTGTAGGGTGACAAAATATCATCACCATGACATTTAATGACATTTCTATGATACACAATATGTATTATATGTTTGTTAACAAACTTTAATTTTATTTAATTTAACCTTTTTTTTAATGACTTGCTCCATATAGGAGCCCAAATACGGTAGTATCTGTATGCCTCTATTCATCATGGGTGACCCGGCTGTCTGCATGCATCTCAAACACGCAGCATGCTACAGAAAGGCGGAAGGGTTGAACTTGGAATGGAAATCGAACTGCCTGTACTTTGGGGGGGGAAAAAACCCTCAAAAAACTGTGCTTAAAATCTGGTGTGATGGGAAAATTAATATATTCATTGCACACATCTACTGACATGAACCTCTATCACACATGTCTTAAGGTACTACAGCATGAACAACATCTGATAGCTTTAACCTTGTAATTACGAAATGTATCTTAATTGATTAGTTTATTGCTGTAACATCTGGAAGTACATGTTGCTGGGTTATGGCCTGAAATGGACTGTCTTGTGCTAGCTTTGGCTGGTAGGCAGAAGGATCTGCATTTTAGAAGTGAAGAGGAACAGTGCCTGTCCACAGTCTAAGAGTCCACACACCAGTTCAGCCTAAAACCGATGAGAAACTCGCATTCGCAATAGGCTCCAAGGTGAGACCTTATTTCTGCTTTAACCTGGCTTAAACTTACACACTAGTGCACTGTAGTGAATCGCGGTATTCTGGTTCTTTGGGGACTGTATATTTGGTTATATTAATGTGCCTCCTATTTTTTCT